TTCAACCTTTTATGATAGGTTTTATTCATAGTTATTAGTAGATAGCTTGGCATTTCTCAGGTGTTCATTTTTTTCGTTTTTTTTTTGGCTTAATTGGTTTCATTTTTTCGATCGAGTTACTGGCCTCCGTTTGCGTCTTAGGAAGTCCGAAAAATGTTTTGTGTGCTTTTGTGTGTTCTGAGGGTACAGATGATTTGAAATTTTTTTTTGAAATTGAATTTTTTGTCTGAACTGTTTCTACTCAGGTATTTTCGGCATTGTTACACTTTTGAATCTTTAGGCCGCTGAGCTGCTCATTATCATGAAAATTCAAATTTAATTACTGGGTGGGTGCTAATTAATACAGGGCAGTTTCAGGGGGCGACTTGAAACGTTTTGAATTTTTTTTAAATCAGTTTTTTTTCGGCTCAACTGGTGTCTGCTCAAAGATTGTCGGCCTGTTTCCCGCTGCGTAAATTTTGTTCAGTTGCTAGTTTGAATTTCAATTTTCTTGCTTGTAATGTTTTTTTTTAGAATTTCTGTCTGATAAAAACAGGTTTCTTGAAAATGTATGGGATTGGGTTTTTTGTTTAATTTTTTTAAAACGCTTTGTAAATTTTTATCACTTTTTGCAAAAAATTTAGTTTCAAAAACCCTTGTTCCGATTTCCAAAAAAGGGGAGTCCATAAAAAGAGCGCCTACACCCTTGTGCGTGTGCACACTTCTCAAAAACTAACCCATCAAATCTAAGATTTTGGTTTCATTGAATAGAAGGGATTTGAAAGCTCCCCTTCCCATTATTGTCTACGCGCAAACTTTTTTTACTCATAAAATTATGGCCCTCGTAATAGTGAAGTTTTTGGATTCGACCCCTGCCGGCTCAAAGTTTTTTTTACTCATAAAATTATGGCCCTCGTAATAGTGAAATTTTTGGATTCGAGCCTCTGCCGGCCCCTTTGTACTATTTTGAGATATATATTTTTGGTAACGGACACTAAATTTTTTCTAAAGGCGCCTTGCGCGCCAACTTACACTTATTTTGAGATGGGAGCGCGCGGCCGAAAAAACTTTTCAAGTTTTTCCAAAAAGTGTCGAAAAACGCCTTTTTTAGCCGTTTTTTCAAAATTTTGCCTGCAGCGCAGAAATTTTGGCCAAAACCGGGTCTTTCAGGAGTCCCTGTAGCGCTTTGGGAGATGTCAGAAAATCCGCCCCCCTCGAGAAAATCCTAGATCCGCCCCTGGGTTTAATCGACTCAAAAGTTTGTTGGAAGCTTAGTTTTACAATTTGCCATGCATAGTTTCTTCTAGGCTACTCCTTAATTTTTTGTAAGAGAATTGTTTTGTCTTTAGGAAAATTTCAAAAATTTTCACTCTTCTCACTCATTTTAGTAGAGAAACAACTAAGGTTTTGGTTATAACGAAATTCAAAAAATCAGACACATGCCTCCAGTTGTAGCGGTGCCCTAGGTGTTCTTCACTTTGGTTCACCTGTGTTTAAAGTATGCTTGATTGCTGATAACAGGTTTGTCCAACGCCGTGAAGTCCTGACCGTTAAGTTGAATTTGTCCAAAAAACAATAGTTTGATCAGTAATGATATTGAATTGCTTTTGCGCGTGAAAAAGAGCAATTGGTCTCAAATTTCTTTGAATGTGTAATCATAGGGAACCAGAACTCATTTTCAGTGCATCGTTGACTACATTCTTTTCTTCCAGTTTTTGGAGAAAATTACGGAATATATAGGCTTGATGTTATTTTTTTATTCAAATCATTTTCATCGGTCGAAGAATATCGTTGATTTGTTATAACGCCATTTAGAAGATTCAGGTACCCTGAGTAACAATATTTTTAACAGAGTTTTCTGCAATCTAGAGTATGCAGGTACCCTGACAGTAGAAAACCACATGTACCAAGTAGTCAGTAATTACCTTTGCTATAAGCAAGGGTATTGCAATCGGGTACTGGACTTTTTCTCGTAAACAACTTTTTCCACAGGATCTTCACTTTTTGAAGAGCTTCTCATGCTGAATTTCTTGAAATATCAAATAAAAAACTATCACTTAGCTAGTCATTATTTCAAGTCCGTTTCAGGTTGTAATGACCTTTTTAAAAAAAATTCTCAGTTTTTTTTCGGGTTCCTGCTTTTCGTCTTAGTTTACGTTGGTTCAGTTTCCGTTTTTGTTTAAACGCCATTTTTATCTGCAAGGATTTTTATTGGTTTAATTTTTAAAGTATGGGTTTTGGTTCAATTTAAACAGTTTTTACTATAACTGAAACTTCACTAATTTGTTAATTTACCATGTCTGATTTTGAGTTTTTTTTTCATTATTTGAATTTTCAAACAGATTTTGTGTATTTATATTGATTCAGTCAACTTATTTTGCATATTTCGAGGTCAAAATATATCCGTTTGGGATTATGTGTTTCAGTTTGGATGGGTCGTAAAAACTTTTAAATGGAATGCAATTTTTTATGACAACAGTTTTGTTTTCGGCTCAACAGGTTTCGACCCTAAGTTTGTCGCCTTTGCTTCCGCTCGGTAGATAATTACCTTTTTAAGGGCTGTTTTTGACTTTCATTTAATGTAAATATGAAGTTTTTGCTGCTGTAATTTTTCAACTTTTGTCAAATTGTTTTTTTCAAGTAATTTTTTCCAACAACCATGATTTTTTTACTACTGTCTTTTTTTTTCATTCACTATTTTTCAGCGCAATGTTTTTTTTGCGTCGCAAGTGTTGCGAAGCTCCGCTTCCCCTCTGTGCAAGGAAAATGGGTTGAGAGAAACCTGAACTATAGTAGAGAGTAGAATGTTTGAAAGCAGTAAGAAAATTAATTATGATATTTAGGCTAGGTCGGAAATATAATTATGATATTTGAACTAGGTTGGGAAATTACTAATAGGGCTCTCGAAAGTCTTTGACAAATAGTAAAAACGATCCTCCGTGCTAGGTAAAGATTTTATGCACGAATAAACTGAAAGGTGAGTCTTAATTGAAGCGAAGAAGCCAAACTCTTAGTCGAGAAAACCGAATTGGTGATCTTAATATATTAAGAGGCTAATTACTTTAGTCAGCGTTAGTGTTATACTACGAATATTCTTTTTTTTCTAACCTAAGTCGCAAATATTGGTGCCACTTTTAAGGCACCTTTACGGGTTTTGCTAGCATGTGCTTTGACATTCGAATATTACTAAGTTAACACAGTTGATGCATTTTTAATTCATCAAATGAACCGAAAAAAGTTATTTGTTTCAAACAACGTAACAATAAAGAAAACTTGATTTCAGAAATTTTCTGACAAAAAATTTCTCGCAATTTTTTGAAATGCATATTTTATGCTTAATGTGGTTTTATGCTGTGCGATTTGTTACATGCAAAAAGATAGTGTGCGTGCCTTCAGTTTGTTATATTTCAAACGATTACTTGCAAAATTGTGTGTATTTATATTCGGTACCACTTTTGCAGCATAGCATTGGCAGTTTGTTTGCAGATGTAGCTGATTTTTGTGACAAGTGTTTGTCGGTTGTTAAGAGTTCGTGGCCGAGAGGGTAGAGCGAGAGACTCCAAGTCTTGAGGTCACAGGTTCGAAGCCCATACGGAGCAAGGTTATACTAATTCGAGGCTCATTTCTATCTTTTATTAGTTCACCTAATAAAGCTGCTTTTTTGTCAAATTCTCGCTAGTGTTTGAAGCGGAGCTCCCCTCTGTGTATAATTTGTTTTGTTCAAAAACTGACCTTGCAATTTCGGCGTAATTTCAAATCAAATGAGTCAACCTTAAAATAAATGAACTTTTGCACTATTTCAATTCTAAGCAAATTTCGTGTTCTCCAATTTGAGAAAAATTTTCTTGCTCAAGTGGGCTGATTTTTTCTGCACAATACATATAGTGTTATCGCATATTTTTTAAATGTTCGAACAACTTTAAGGGCGTCAAAACAATCAGCACTTCACTGATAGCAATTTTTAATTATAGCATTACGTGCTTTTCATGCACTTCAGGTCTTATCTTTGTCATAAAATCTTGTACTATCTCAAGACTAGCAAAGTTTAAGCAAGTTTTGTCTTTGTCAGCTTTCATATAAACGTATTTTTCTCCGATTTGAGAAAAAAATAGGTTAAAAGAGGGCAATTACCCTGAATTAAAAATGATATTTTTGCTAGATTTCTATGCCATCTAGAAGATACAGGTACCCTGAAACATAAAATCAAAAGGTGTTTCATTTTTTTCATCAGGATAGGGAAAAGTTGCTATGAAAAATATGAATTTTTTCTGTTGAAATTTTGTGATCCGACTTTGAAAAAAGTGACGGAATATTTATGCTTGGAAGCGCTTCTAATGGATTTTTTAGAAAATACTCGGAAAATATTGATGCACTGCGTTCAAATTCAAAACGATATTTTACATATGATTGTTTTTTCTTGAAGTTATGGGGGTTGAATGTTGCAAATTGAGGATACATCATAATGGGGATGAGGGGAAATTTTTCCAGTAAATATGATTTTTTTGTTTAAATTTTTTTCTTAAACTTCATCGATTTACCCCAGAAACGCTTTAGGACAGTCGGAACTTTCAGGCATCTGCCCTGATACCATTAGTCTAGGTGTGTCTGAATCGACATGGCACATTTGAATTCTTGGGTAGCCGAACAAACTAAAATTGACATTAAATAAGGCAACATATGCAGTCAAGTTTTCCAATCGAAAAGAATGTTGGTGCAACGGTGAAATTGGCAGCTATTTGTCAAAACCGCGTGATTTCGGTATGTTGCAAGTATATATGTTGCCTTATTACTTGGGTGTGTTACGTGGGTAGCCGAAGAAACAGAAATGGACATTAAATAAGGCAACACATATGCAGCCAAGTTTTCCAATCGAAAAGATTGTAAGTGCAACGGCGAAATTGTCAGCTATTTGTCAAAACCGCGTGATTTTGGTATTTTGCATGTATTATTCTTTGAATCTTTGGCTACCCAAATTAAAGATTTTCGAAGTCACCTTTTTAATCATTTCACTTTGCCAATAGGTGGAGTGATAGTTTCGAACCAGCTTCTAGACTGAGGAAGAGTTTCAGACGTATCATTGCCGAAATGGGAATTCACTCCAAGTTTGAAGAGGATGCTAACGCAGGTAGGATCGTTTAAGTGATTTTCCCCCTTTGGTACCTAGTAACGAATTGCCAGCAGCCCCATTAATGAAATTATTCAACGGTAAAATCTATGTGAATTTTGTTCCTAGTAACGAATCTCTTTCCCCTCTTGTTTGCAAGGGGGAATAGTTAATAATATTCCGCATATTTTTGTTCATAAATTTATAAAAAATTTCGTACTTGATAATCACGAACTCGTACAGCACATATTTCATTAGATGTTCAATTTTTCGAAAAGTTTTACTCATTATTTATATTTATCAGATTATCAATTTAGGTTTGAAAATCTAGCCTGAAAAAAATGAACCTGCTTTTTTGTAGTTTTTGAGTATTAGCCATTATTTAGATGCTATCAGATAATCAATTTAAGTTTGCGAGTCTAGCCTGAAAAAATGTTTTTGTATTTTTTAAGATAAATCATTATTTTTATTTTGGAAAAAGCTTATTTTACTCGCATATTTTTCTTGCCAGATGTTTATTTATGTAAATTTGCTATTCCTTGTGCTTTTTTTGCAATTTTAAAATAATTGCATTGAAAAAATCGATTTCTATTTTTTTATTGGTTATTTTTCCTTTTTGTTTATCCATTGGTTATTGTAGTATTTGAAACATCGTATAGTGTCTTCGATAGTAGCATAGCCGGATGCTACTGACTTGTGCCAAATCTCTAAAAAATATAATTAGACAAAGTTCAATGGTTCGATTGTGACCAGGACCTGTTTTTTTTTGTCAGCGGAAAATTATCCGCGCGTCAAACCATCTTTGTCGGACTTCTGATTGTCTGCTTTTTTGTCGACTTAGTTACAGCAGCTCCTAATTTTCCTAAAGTTTGAGAATTTTTACTCGATTTTATTTTAAAAATTTACTTCAATGTATTGCGATTTTGACAAGTAATTGAGTTCCAAGAAGTTTTTTTGCTTTTGCCTGTTTTTTTGCTTTTTTTTAAAAAAATTTCATGGTGTTCATTTGAAAAATTTTCAAAGTTTTTTTAAATAATATCAAGGAGTGTTCTGAGCGTTTAGTGCAGTGGTAATACCCATGCTTCAGACGACAATTCTCAGAAATTCGATTTCAATTGGGACCTGTTTTTTTTTTTGTGGAAACTGAAAGTTTTCGAATTTTCTATAGACTTTAGTGTCTGCTAATTTTTCTCTTCCTAAGGTCCCGCAGAAAGGTTCGGTTGATGTTTAGCATTTTAAAAGCTCTTTGTAAAGTTTCTAAAGGTGCAAAAAAAATTTTATCAGGATTTTTTGTCCTTTTCAATTTTGACTACTTTTTTGACCAAATAAAAACCATTATTTTGAAGTTTTTTTTTCATTGATTGATTAAGCTCTTCATTTGCTGGTGATCATATTTATACGTTTTCGCCTCTGTGTAACCACTCACAATTCATTTTAGTTTAATTACACCCACGCGAGCAAGTGTCTTGTAATCGGGAACAAAACTTTTTATCCCGTAAACAACTTTTACAAATCTGGAAGAAGTTGAAGTTGAAGTTACTTTGTTAGAGAACCTAAGCAACTTCGAGGCTCTTTCCATTTGGCCGAGAGGTAACGCCGGACCATATTTTTTCTGTTGAAAAATTGTCTTGTCGGACTTTTGTCAGCTTGCTTATCTTTCGTCGGCTTGCTCGCCACATCAAGTCAAGTGCCGCATCAAAATATTTTTGTGATGCATTAAATATTTTTGTGTCGCATCAAGAGCAAAAACTGAAAGTTTGTTTTTCAATTCATGTAGTTTTGAAACTTAATTGCTCAAAATTTTTTAAGAGTATATGAACTTAGTTCAGGCTCTTATATAGGTGTCGTGATGATTTTTTTTTTAAATGATTTCAAATATACTTTCTCGGGGTTTGAGTTTTATTTTCTTTTAAAACCGGTTCTTTTTTTGAAAGGAAGGCAAATTGGACTATTGAACAGCAAAAGTTTAAAGGTCAAGAAAAACGTGATCGACTTCTAGTTTCGAAAGTGATTTTTTCAGATAATCACTGTTTTTCTGAAATTATTTTCATTTTCCCCTTTTTTTAATTTTCCGATTTCCGTCTCATTCCGTTTTCATAGACTTTGTCACTCATATAAGTTTAAATAAAATTATACCAGCGGATAGACATAACTAAACGTATTGATATCATTTGATTGTAACTAGTTGAAAATATACTTTGTTGTTCCGACTATTGAAAATCGGGAGGAACTTTGTCTTCGGATGTGTCAGTTTTTATTTTGTTTTCCGCGCAAAATTAGGTACCAAAAATATGGCTGATTGGGTTGAATGGTATATTTTGTTGAAGCCCTTACAGTCCTGATTCGAACATGAAAAAATTTTCAAAAAGTTGTCCCGGTGTCGAAAGAAACTGGTTTGAAATTTGTGAAGTTTAGGATAATTTTGAGCAAATAAAGGGAGCGAGGTGGCTTACAATAGCTTATTTTTGGATTTGAGCGGTGAAAACTTAGTTTTACTTGAGTAAAGTTAATTGTTGGACTTTTAGGACTATTTTGCAAATCAAAAATTGAAAAAATTCGGTCAAATTTTCCGGTCATTTTTCTACAAAAACTGTTGCCCAATTTGCCTTTTTTTACCATGACTGTAGAATATGCCTAATTCTTACTTAGGGGCTCTAATCACACCACACAGAAAAAAAATACACTGTTTTCAAAAAACTTTATTTTTTTAAAATACTTATTGGAACATTCTGGGCTACTTTTTTCATTTGTTCTATCCTTGTTTCAACATGATTTCGGATAATCATGTTCTTTCTTTTTCTTTTTTTTCATGTGTCACTTTCAAGAATTTTTTTTGTCCTGATCATTGAAAATGAGGAAGAACTTTGTATTCGGTTGTGTTTTAGTTTTTTTCCACGCAAAATCAGGTACCACAAATAATCATTGGACTGGGTTGAGTGATATATCATATTAAAGCCCTGAAAATTGTTATTCGAACCATATTAGAAATTTTTAAACAAATTTTCTCTGTGTCGAAAAAAACCGATTTGAAATCAGCAATTGTATGCTTAAACGCTTACAATTGCTTATTTTCAAATGTAAAAACTCAGTTTTCTTGAGTAACATTAGTTTACTCTGAGTATTTTAGGGCCCTTTTGAAATCAAAAATTCAAAAAACTGCAAAAAGTATTTTTTTTCAAGAAATGTTTTTCAATTACTTATTTTACTATAACTGTTGATTATACCTAATTCCCAGTTTTTTTGTTCAGCTCCTTTTATCACACCACGACAAAAAAAACGGCAATAATTTGAAAAAACTTGGTTGTAATTTTTTATGACTATGGTCGGATCATTCTGTGCTACTTGCACAGTAACTGGCTGTCCTTGCTTACGCTAGCGTCAGGTTAGTTTATTGTTACCAATCTTCTTCTTTTTCTAACCTAACTCGAAAATGAAAGTGTTCATTATAAGTGTTCACTTATTTGGAAAATTCACTATCATTGGAAATTGCATAGCACCTGTTCTCTGCTTTATTTGTGACTAGTGTTTGGCTAGCAACTATTCAGCTTCCGTGGCTGAGTGGTTAGGGTGCGAGAATCTTAATCTCTAGGTTACAGATTCGAATCTCAGACGTAGCCGAATTTTTTGCTAATTCGAGGCTTATTTCTATTTCTTGTTATTGCACTTTATAGAACTGCTTTTTTGCCGTGTTATCGACAGTATTTGCTAAGCGAAACTTCGCCTCTGTGCTAAATTTGCAGTCTTCTGGATATTATTTTAAAATTTGGTAATTTTTTTGCGTGTAAATCTGATTGTGGCGCGTGTTTTTTTTTTGTCCACATATTATAATTTGTCAACTTGTCTGTTCGCAGAGGCCAAACTTGACCTGATGACGTTGGTGATGCTCCTGGACGGACATGCCATGTCGAAAGCCATGATTCAAACGACATCCTGTGCATTACTCATGAAGCACTCTAACTTTATCCTAATTTCGCTCCGCTATTACGACAGTATCTACCAAATTAACAAATACTTCAAATCATTCTTCATCTCAAGCCTACAGCAAATCGGATTTGACGCGTTTCAAGATGAAATGTTCATTTTGATAGAGCAATACTGGTCGGATAAAGTTACTTCTGTTAACATGGAAACCACATTCAATTTAGTGAACATTCTTTTTGATGCATTTGTAAATGCGAATATGGAAACGAAACCAAAAGTTTTGAAGGTTGTCCTTAAGTTATCAAATTTGTCATTTGGGCACATACGTGAAGAAAACTTGACCATTGTCGATGCGTATGAGGAAAATTTGACAGAAGTTATACAGAAAATTGAGTTGCTAAATGGAATTGATATTGAAGATAACAAAATATTGGAGAAATTTGTGACACTTTTTACAATTGTTACTTCGCAATCAAAAAACACTGTCGTCAAAAATTGTGGTAATCATCTGACTGAAATGATTGCATTATCGTCAGAGTGTAAAGAAGGTCTGGGTAATTCAGTCTTGTTTGCGAAATATGAGCAGTATTGTCGTATGAGTAGCAAAAAAGAGCGGAAAACCATGCTCGAATTATTGGCCGAGCAGCTATTGAATGAAATTGATGAACTGAGTTGTAATGAAGCTGAATGTTTCATGAAACACCCCCGAGTTTTCAGTGACCCCAGTGTTCACAATGCTGTAATTAGGAAGTTAAAAGAAGAATCGAGAACATCTTTGACAAAAACTAGACATGTGATTTTAGAGTCTGTAAATACTGTTGGTTTGACTGATGAAAACTTAACCAAGGTTTTGGAAATTGAAAGTCTCCCATTGAAAGTGTTGGGAGCTATTTTGCATGATGCTTTTGTGAAAGCCAATGAGTCTGCAGTTGACCTCGTTTTTCTGACCAGAGTTGTTTTGAAACATACTGAAGTAGACGAAGACTCGTTCTTGAAATCCTTTGAAAAAGTTCTTGAAGCTACAATGAAATTTGACGACCTTCATTTGAGCGCTAAAATTGACGAGTTGTTAGCGATGTTTATACAAGAGATTAAGAGTGAAGATAACAGCGAAAGTGTAAGGCTGCGGGCTGAGATAGGAGTTGCAATGGTTTTGCTGAAGATGGAACTAAAGAAAAAAAACCTGGAAAAGGACACTTGGTTGTCCAAAAAGTCTCTTAAATTTCTAACTAAAAGAGAAAATGTGATACATGAGTCTTCGCATTTTCTCGCAAGTGAACATTTACTGGGTGTAGTGTGCGATTTAATACTCAAAAATGATTTGCCGAATGATGATGGTTTTGAAAAAATCTGTGGTGAAATTACAAAAAGTTCTACCAAGGTGTGTCTTATTCATATTCAGTTGATAACTGTCTTTTTCAAAAAGAAGTTTTCTTTGAAAGGCAAGGAAATGACGCAGTCTTGTCTTGGAGATGTGATGGAAATTTTAGCGAAAATTTCGATTGACGACTCGTGTCGGAAGTTTACGAACAAACTGCTTTCCTGCTTTAGCGTAGATCAGATTGGAAGTATATCTGAAAACTGTTTCAAAAAGTTCACTGAAAAAGAACTCCTCCAATCCGCAAGTTGTCCAGCGAAAGAATACTATGCGGCTTTATTGGAAGCTTTGATATCGAAATTCGGGAAGAACCATTTAAAGAGCTTTTACAGAAAATTAGTCGCCAGTTTTTATGGAGCAAGTCCATATTTGACCAGTGACAAGAAAATGTTGTGGATGAAAATCTTGCTAGCTGGAGCGAGGTACGCTATCTTTGTTTTGAATTCATTAGGATCAATTTATACTGAGCAAAAACGGCAAAACACATCAAAAGGCGTTATCAAACGCAAGCTGGTCCAGCACGCAATCAGTTGGCCGTTAGAAGTATTTTTCTAGTATTGGGGAAAACCAGGTTTTTTTTATCTAGGAGATCACTGTATCGGGGAGAGCAAATTACCATTCTAGGAGCTCTACTTTGATATCCAAATGCAATAGTTCTGCGTGTAGCAGCTTAATAATTTACGTAATTAATAATTTTGCGATCAGCGAGTGTGTTGCAACCGGTGATACACTTTTTTCCCGTAAATAATTATGTTCACACAATAGGCACTTAGGAAGGAACTGAAAAATGGTCAATTTACAAATACCGCACCTGCATCCATCTATGTATCAGCTTCATGTACCGCCTATATTAAGTTCGTTATCTGTTCATAAGTGGTACCTACAAGTTTTTCTAATGAGATTTTTTTACCGAAAATGTTTCGGATGATTTTCTGCTAATTGGATGTTGCCTTTAATGCTGTAGCTTTGTTTGCCTAATTTTTTCTACTTATTTCTGGTGAACTTTCATGAAACGGTCATAACTTAAACAATGTATTATAAAAACCTTGAAATCCCCATCTCCGACCCTCTTTGTATTTTTTAGTTTTTTTTTGGAATAAAGTTTTTTGTGCACTTAATTCTTTTTCACAAAGCTCAAGTCGGCTCAAAAGTTCAATCGATAATTTTTTGTGTTATGCTGTAAGTTGGTGAAGTTAAATGTAATCATGAGCTTGTCTGCAGTTTTTTTTGGTATAATTTTTCGATCAAGCTTCTGTGAACTTTTTTTATATTGGTTTGAGTGTTTGTAGCTGATTTTTTTTGCAACGGTTACCGTTTTAAGCTATTGTCGGGTTAAGAAAGCTTTAATTGCTATCAGATCAAAAAAAAATTGGATAAATTTTTCTAAGTTATGAGATTTTATTGTTTTGAAATGAAAATATAATGCAATATAATTTTAAAATAAAGAGTTCTTTTCTGTGGTTTTTTATGATGCCCTATTTCTTTTTGTTTTATCTTGAATATTGTAAATATAATTCACATTTTTGGATTTTTACCCATCAAACGTCTCTGTTAGTGAAGAAAAAAATCGAAATAGATGTTTTATTTTTCAGTCCACTGCTTGGGTTTAATTGTTTGTCTTCATTTGGCTTTTTCTTTCTTGTAATTAAGCGTTTTAATTCTCACTAAATCTTAGAAATTATAAGTTTGATTCAAAATGATGCATTAAATCACAAGTTTCAGAAATTTTCTTTTAGTTTGATTCAAAGTAATGATTCTAAGTAATGATTTTTCAATGTTTTAAAAATCACATTTTCTGACTATCAGGCAATTTCTTGATTTGTCGGCTTAGCTCCCTCGGCATGCAATTTGTTGACAGCTCAGCTATTAGAAACATCGAAGAATACCAAACCTAAACTTTTTATTGGTACACGTTCTTAGATTTTCGAAAAAATAAGTAATTCTATATCCTTTTAGCTATTTTTTTGAGCTTCATGCTGCTCACATCTTAAATTGCTTGCAGGAATTTAAGTTGATGTGTTTTAGCGCCTTTTTGATTTTTTTTCGATATTTTTTTGAAAAAAAAATTGTTTGTTCGGTTTACTTGCTTTATTTCGAGTAAAACGACAATTTCAATTCTAAATTCAAAGATGGTTCTGCGCATTTGGCGCTGTGGAAATAACCTCCTTGACACGAGAAGGCGTAGTGTTCTATTCCAGTCGTAACCAGTTTTTTGTTTTGTTGCAAACTGAAATTTTTTTTGCAATTTTGTACTATGGTTCGTCAGCTTTTTTTGTCGGCCTGGTTCCCACATCCCACAGACTTTTTTCTAACGTTCCAATTGCTCTGTGGTTAAGTTCTAATGGTGCCTGTTATTGAGTTTAATGTTAAATAAAACGATGGATTTTTTTTTTTGATTTGTTGGTTCATTTGCGCGTAACTATGGTTATTCCATTTAGTATCGCCTTTGTGTTGAAACTAGTTTGAAGTGGCTATAAACATGCCTCAACTACCTATTGCGGAACCCCTCTCCCATGGGCACGAGAGATTTATCTATTGGTCCATTTACTTTTGTACTCTTAGGAGGCAGAGCTATTATTTCACACAACTATATCCTAGCAGTATCCTGAGCTACTTAGGGTAACCGGCTTTATACTCTTGACCTGTTTATAGATACGGCAACTTCATTCTCGAAGCTGATCAGTCGAGGTTGGTGATGCAGTGCATGGACATCAAGAATTCGAAGTCCCGATTAGTCGACAAGGCTCTGTTAGACGCTGAGATGATCATTTTGCTCAACCTATTGAAAGAGCGCCCAAATTTCATCTTTCCGATTGTATTTTCTATCACACTTTGTCGGATCTTTGACTACTTGTTCACGCTTTGCTCGACCAAGAAGCTCTCAAAGAGTGAAGTTGCCCCCAAAAAAAGTAAAGAAAATCGTAAAAGAAAACGAAAGCACCAGCAAGACGCTAATCTAAATGATGACATATCGTCGGGAGATGAACAGAAGAAAGATAATCTGGAAGAGAACTTCAAAAAACTTGATATGAACTCAAATGAAGAAATTCCGGAGTGTGAGCAGTTGGAGAAATCAATCTCGACGTTCAGAACGATTTTGCATTTGTTAAAGATTCTACCAGACGAAGGGAAGTTGATTCAATCTCATATTATTGGAGCATGTATTGTTAAGTACAGAAAGAGATCTCTCAAACTGGAGTTTCAAAGACACTTCCAAGAAATGATGCAGTTTTTGGTTGATTCAGTCAAAGATACTCAGCATTTCAAACTGGTTTTGAATAATGCTAGTCTTTTCGACGCTTTAGTTTTGAACCAGTTTCAAAATAAATAATTTAAATGTGTTTTTTCCATTGCGCTTTTTTGAGTTGTAAATTTACTCGAGCATGGGTGGTTGTTCTCGTTGAATGCTGTGATTATAAAATGAATGAAAATCTATTGAAGATATTGAAGTCATTTTTCATAGTCAAGGTTCTTGAATGTTGGTTTTTATTTTTATTGCAGGTGGCTTTTTATTTTGGCTTTTAAGTTATGTATTACAGGTGGCGCGAAAGCCCTGCTTCGAATCTGTGTTTATAGTTGTTTTTAAACACATTTTTGTATTTAGGAAGAAGTTTTTTTTAAATTGCAGGTGGCGCGAAATCAGCTTTGACCCTGTGCTTACACTAGCAAGCTTGGCAGCGTAGTGTATTAGTATGAATCTTTTTTCCCAACCTAACTTGCAAATAAAAGTGTTGACATATTTGGTGGCACTTTTGTTATAATCACGCTCTTTAGAATTGGAAATTTCATATTATCTGTTCTCTGCCTTAATTCTGGCTGAGTGGTTAGTGCGTGAGACTGATAATTTTTAGGTCACGGTTCGAATCCGAGACGTAGCCAAATTTCTACTACTTCGAGGTTTATTTCTTCTTTTTCTTATTGCAATTGATAGAGATGCTCTTTTTTCGTATTCTCGCTAGTGTTTGCGAATCGTACCTTCGCGTCTGTGTTATAGATGTTTTCACAAACATTTTTGGATTTTCAAAGAAGCCGTTATTAATTGATGAAAAAGTTTAAGTATAGATAGAGCTATCATAAAGCTCAATTCGAAAGCTATGTGTTAATTCTAAGAATTGTGCTTTCTATCGATTCAATGGTTTCGCATTGTTCAAAAATGAAAACTGAATTATTGTTGCGACCATTGAAAATGAGGAGAAACTTTGTGTTCGGGTGTGTTTTAGTTTTTCTTTTTGTTTTCGACGCAAAATCAGGTACCACAAATAATACGGGTTGAGCGATATATCATATTAAAGCCCTTTCACTCTTGCTTTGAACCAACTTAAAAAATCCCCAAAATTTTTTCTATTGCCGAAAAAACCGGTTTGAAATTTTTGATTTTTCGTCTAATTTTGAACGAATGAAGCAATAGAGTAACGTTTGTTATATATGAAAATTAGCAATTTCGGCTGAAAAAACCTGATTTTATTGCCATAATGTTTTTCGAAAGTTTTTTTTTCGTGTTTTTTATTTATTTAAATTTTGAAGACAATTGGAGCCGTTTATGCCTAATTCACTAAATTCTTACGTGTTCGTATATATGTATCATCACACAACGTATAAAAAAAGACACTAACTTCAAGAAAAAAGAAAAAAAATTCTGAGAATGGTCGGAACATTCTGTGCTACTTGTACAGCAACCGGGTATCCTTGTAATGGTTTTGCATAGTGCTTGAATTTATGATGTGAAGTTTTCTTCTTTTTAGTTCCAAAAAGGGGTAATTTTTGGTGTCGATCGTATTTGTAGTGATTTTTTTTGTTTCAGGAAAAATTCAAAAAAGTTGTTCTCGCCCAAGTTTTAATTGATTTCTTCTTGAGGACACTTCAATTGCATATGCTGAGTGGAAGCAAATTACACTCTTTAATCAAAACATTTGAATGGCGTGAAAACGGTGGAAGAATTTCAGTATCAAAAGTTGACTTGACTTCAATCTTCCAAAAAAGTCAGAATGAGATTGATTTCCACGTATGTTTTTTTTTGGTTTTCGCGAGTTCACGGACGCTTTCGAATTCTTTGTGCGCTGTGTTCTCTCTGGCAATTCAATCTTTTATCCAAGCAAAGCGATGAGCAAGGTTGTTGCAAGCAACCGGGTACTAGACTTTTTGCCCATGAAAAACTTTGTTCAGAGATTGGACGGAACGGTAGTCAGTATATTTTATAGACACTGAAATGATAAAAACAATGGCTAATGATTTGTCTGGATATTTGCCTTGGTTGCACTCTAATAGTTGCAAACTAATTTTAATCGATTAGCTTGAGTTATACAATCGTAATCTAGATATTTTGTTCGGGTTAACCACTTGTTTTATTTTACAAGATCACTGAACCACTTGCTCAATTTTCTTGATAGTATATCAAGTTTGAGGTTTTAATTTGGCTCGCTTACTTTGAAGTCAACACTCATTATCGATACTGCAAGGGTTATGAGTTCGATACTACTTAGGATGAGTTTTTGCGTGTTTTTTTCTGCGTAAAATTTAATTATCGGGCTTTTGTTTGATTTCTTATTTTATGTCAGCTTATATTCCAAATTACGCAAACTTTTTCTGCTTGAAGCAAGTTTTGCTTTAATTGTTAGCCATCTTGATTTGTTTCTGTAATTTGTAAGCTTGTGACCTCTGAGTTTGTAAAGCTTACTTCCTTTTCTTTCTTTTTGTTCGTTTTTTTTTGCTCAAAAGGTTTTTTCAGGCTTAATAGTTTCGGCAAATGCGATATGGACCTAGTCACATTAAATAGCGTCGTTTCATAGGAAAAAAGGTTTATAGGTTTTGTGTGTTTCAGATGGGGGTAGATCTTAGTCACAAAGTTATATAGCCTTAAATGTTTGTTTTCGATTGAACTATCGTCTACTAACGTTTTGTCGCGCTAAGTGGTGCTCGATAATTATTTGTGAATAGTAATTAAACGCTAACGATAATGTTTTTTTTGCGGAATGGGTACCTAAAATTGAACATAATTGGAGACAAACTTCTGATTTTTTTCCGGATATAATTTGTTATTCTTATTCATCTTATAAATTCAAAGTCCATAATAGAAAACAGTTTCTAATACGAGTTTTTCATGTTTATCCCCAGAAAATGAACTAGATAACGTTTTCATCTATTTATTTTAAATACTATAAACGCGTCAAGGTTTTCTTGAAATAAATACAATCTCAGACCTCCCATGAACTCAAATGTAAATTTTGACTAGTATAAAATGGCTATAAAATGATCTTGTTGAATAAAGTTTTCTTAAATACGTTTTTCCAAACAACAAAGATTTCAGCGTTTTGACTGAAAAGCTTAAATTTCTCTGCAGGTGAAATAGTCCGTTTGTATGACATATTATCCCCTGCTTTTCTATCCCATAGTAGTATATCGCATTCCACGATAGCCTAACCGTAATAATAGCCCAAGACTTATTAGCTCTACGTCAATTAATATGTCCCATTTGGCGAATCGAGACAAATATAGTAGCGACCGCCCCCCTCCCCCCTCAATTCTGGTTGCCAAAGGGTTCCCTTCTTTGGTATAACTTTATGACATCCATTTTTCGCTGAACAACCTCAAAATTTTTCTAAAGGCGCCTTTGGTGCCAATATGACTAATTTTGAGGGGGGAGCGCGCCAAAAAAACGCCATTTTTTCGGTCAAAATTTTCAAAAGCGATTTTATATTGATCCACCCTGCTTTTAATTTATTCTCTGATGTTGGGTTCGTGTCATTACCACGTTCTCAGTAAGTCGCTGTCGAGTTTCTTGCTCGTCTGAATTACACCATCAGAAATAAAACTTCACTCCCCTTTTTTATTGAAAGAGTTGACGTGATTGCAGTTTGCATTCTCTAGTCCATTCGATTGGCTCGATGAGTCTGTGTCGACTGGGATGGTGGCGCAAACTGAACATTCCATTGGTTTTACTTGGAATCGGTCTTTCGATTTCAAAAAAGTATGCTTTAATTTTTCAAGAAACTGATTATGATTCTGATAAGCGATAAGCTGTATGCTGGTGGGTCATAATAGAAAATACCCAAACTTGAAGTGAATGGAAAGCCAATACCCGCAATGTGTAGTGGACGGACAGCCCTACTTGCCTGGCTGCATCAGTATCCTCTCCTACCTGGAGAAAAGACTGACAATTCTGTTGCGAGATGGCAAGACATTCATCGGATATTTGCAGTCGATAGACCAGTTTGCAAATCTGCTCCTTGCCAACACCAAAGAGAGAATTTATGTCGGAGAGAAGTTTGGAGACATAGAAAGAGGTAAGCTTCTACTGATAGAAGTTCAAAAGAAGGTGGGAATTTAATTCCATTTTAATTCCCCATTTTTTATGATGTGTTTATGGAGCGACTATTGAATATGGTCAACCTTATGTATGTCTGTGTAGGGATCTACATAGTGAGGGGTGAGAACGTAGTGCTGATAGGAGAGGTAGATCAGAAGAAAGAGGAAGAGTTGTGTGCGGAACACCAGATGAAGACAGAGGAGATCCTCATCATGCAGAAACAACAGCAGCTCCTCAAAATCGAAGCCGAAAAGGCACGACAGAAGTTCCTCAAAGAGAGAGGACTCGACTTCTCAGCCACCCTCCAGACATTCGATGATTTTTCATAATCTAGTTCTTTTTCAATACCAGCGTCTCAAAACGTCAATGAATTTTGTTGCAATGTTTTCTAATGCTGCAAAATAAGACGAAGAGTATATTTTACAGACTTGGAAATGGAAATAATTGTATTTTTGTTTTGATCCAATATAAATGAATAAAGTTTGAATTTTTCTCATCAAGACGTTGTACCCAACTTCAAATAAACTCATAGGTTAAAAAATGACTGTAGATTTAGTTTGTAGTTCAGAATTACCATGAGCGACATAGTAGATCAGTGTTTTTGATAATCACCGCGCAGGCGAATTGAATGGTGAAATACGCAGCGAGATTTTGCTAACGGCAGATCAATCACAGATTATGATGCGGTTGCTTACAATTGGAATAGCGATCCACCCTTTATTGAGAATGAGATGGCTAAAACACACATTGGTCAAATTTTGTAGGTGCTTCAAAACTAGATTGCTAGAAGTTAACCGTGAGACAAAATAAAATTTCGCGCTTGCGATTAGCCAGCATTAGAGAGTAATATAATACTTTCGACAAAATTGCTGAATCATTTCTTGAGCTCTTTCGGCAACTGTTTTTTCATCAATCAGTAAATAATGTTTTTCATCATTGTTTTGAGCTTTTTTGCGAAATGGACATATTCCTAGATTGTAAATTTGTTAACTTTGATTTAATAAAATTTCAGTTTGCTTATAAGAACCTTGTCAATTTTATATTCAAAGCATTTTCTCTAAATTAAGTAAGTTAATTTTACGCTTTCGATTAATCAGCCTTAAAAAGGAAAACATATATTTTTCCTATAAACGATTAGTCTAACGATATACTAGTGAGCGTAGTGTCATAGAATGAAGCATTTTTTCCAACCAAAGTAGCAAAGACAAATGCTCATTTGCTGCAGTTTTTTTTGTATAATCATGATTTCTAGCATTGACAAGTAAATAGCATTTGTTCTCTGCTTTATTGCTGTCTTGTGTTTGCAGATTGCCAAGCAGCCTTGCACAGAATCATAATCTAAAGGGTAGGGGTTCAATGCCGCGCTTAGCAATAGTTTTTTTTTATTTGGTGGCACTTTTGGTGCATAGCACTCGCGATTATAAGAATCTATAACTGCATTATAAGTGCTTATTACAAGTAAATTTTCAAGTTCCAGGGGCGCCGCCGAGTGGAAGTGTGACTCACAGTCTCCACCAGGCCGTGGCTTTGAATGCGACACAGCAATACTTTTATTTTTCAAGCATATTTTTAACTTTTAATATTTCATTTTTCTTAGAGCTGGTTTATGTCATTTTCTTGCTTGTGTTTGCGAACTGCACCTTTGCTTTTTTGTATAAAAGTTGGTATATGTTTTTGTATGTCTAGTGATATTGGCGTATAATTCATCCAAAACTTGCATGTATTTTATTTGCGTCAATTTAAGAAAAGAATTATGATTTCAATTTGAAATACTGGAGTATGTTGTTGGTTTTTTTCTGACATTTGAAATCTTTTGGAAATGACCGTTTTTTAACTGAAACAATATTTAGTTCGGCTTTCTTAAAAGGCGTGTTTTTGACAAATACGTAGCAAATGGTGTTATTCGATTGGTAGCAGTTACTCTCAGCAGAAATTTTAAATGTCGACATCAAGGTTTTCATATTGCTAGAACATGGTTTCAGTATTGTAATTTATTTCATGCATTGTAATTTATTTTATGAATCTTTTCATGATTTTTTGTCAGAAGCAGCTATTTTTTATACATGAATTTCAGTACAGAAGAGAGACTTGTGTTTTTATTACGAGTCTGCTTCCAACTCGTTGAAAATACTGCTCGTTTGAGTGGAACTTAGCTGCATATCATCATTAAGAGCATTGATAATGTAAAAGCATGTGTATCTGCGTTATTGGTGGCTAGTGTTTAAGAGTGGATGAACGTAGTTAAGATTCTTATATAGGCTGCGATTATGTTTTTCCGTTTTTTTTCCAGGAAAAGTCTTAAAATTTATTCAAGCTCAAATTTACCTTTTCGCGGTTTGACTTTTGATTTCTTTTTCAGTTCAGTTCTTTTTAATCGTTAAAAGGAAGGCAAACTACATAATCGAGCAGCAAATGTGTAAAAGTGATGAAAAACGTGATCGACTTCTAGTTTCAGTAGTGGAATTTAATTTCCAGATTTTCCAGCGAAATAAAAAAAATTACGTATTGACCCAGTTTTCTCAAATAGGGTCAATTTTATCGCATAAGTGCCACTCATAAAGTGGTTTAGAAAATCAAAGAGCTTCAAAAGCATCTCTTTTATTCAAGAGCTTTAAGGGCATCTTTATTTTTATCTGTTGGCTATTTTCAGTCTTATTCAAAAGGACGTGGCGCAGATTCGAAGAAGCGAGACTGATTATTTAAGTTCAGGTTTCGATTTCGGCATGTGCGAGCTAAATGGTGATATATCAAGGTTTATTTTTGCCTTTTTGTTTCTTTTTTCTCTTTTTAAGGCTATTTTTGCCGTTTTGTTGCATGTTAGCGAAGGGCAGTGTCGATAAAAATTAGTTCGAGTTGTTGTCTAATATTGAGCGAGAAAAGAGATCGAGTAACGTTCGTTGTATATGAAAATTGGTCATTTAAGCTACGAAATCTTGATTTTACAAACGATAGTAACGTTCGCTGTTTATGAAAATTTGTCATTTAGGCTACGATATCCTGATTTTACCTAACGAAAACTTCTTTAGGAAATTTGGTTTTGCGCTTCATTAGCAATCAAAGTTTTCCAAGAAAGTTTGAAATTTTGTTCGAAAAAACAATTTTTTTTTAAAGAAAAACTTTTTTTCGTTCATTTTTTGGAGACAACTGTTTCTAATTTACTAGATTTTTGCTTGTTTTATGGTTCTTTCATCGCATTACGCACAAGAAATGACCATAATTTGAAGAAGAAAAACTTTTTTCTGTAGATTCTGTTAATGTGGTCGGAACATTCTGTGCTACTTCCACAGCAACCGGATATCCTTTTTTTGTTTTTGTTAGTTTCAGGCACCTCATAATCTTTTGCTTTAGCTGCCGTGGTCATGTTGAACAGCGTTGCTACTGTGTATGGCAATCGTTTCTTCCGAGATGCAATAATATCTCTGTATAGTTCTCAAAAAATGTATTTTGTTGATTTGCTGCATAATATTAAATGGCCAATTTATTAAAAAGTTGAAACAAAATCATTTGAATTATTCGACATCTCAAGATCAGGGCATCAATCCGCTTATGTTCACCGTGCATAGATGTAACTTACATGCCTGCAAAAACATGGATCCGTGCTTTAAATATTTGGAATTTCGGATCTGTTTTTTTTTGGTAGGACTTAGTTTTTTTTTGTAAAAGGAAATTTTTCCGCGTGACAAAAATTCGTTGTCAGACTTTTGTTTCTCCGCTATTTCTTTTGGCTGTTGTTAATTTATTCCAGTTATGGTGCTGATTTTTTTAAAAACATTTTTCGGAATTTTTTCTTTCCATTCTTCAATGAAAGCAATAAATAGCGCCTTCCCATAAAAATTTTTGTGTCAAAAATGGTGCGAAGCTCCGCTTTGGCTTTGTTTTATTTTCTGACCCAAGTTGCTGGTTTTTGAAGAAAGTTTTCTGTTCTTAAGGTACCATGAGCGTGCTGTCCTTGTAAATTAATCGTCTTGATTGAATTAATCTTTCAAATATCTTCATGGATCAATCTGGTTCCTCCTTCAGTATTCAATGTTGATCAATTTTAAAGTAATCTGGATTTTCACAAAATAGGTATAAGTTTGAGCTTACCTAGCCGCTACGCCCCTTGTGTTTAATTTAACAAATCTATTTTGTGATACTGAAATTATTTTCGTGCTATGATTTTGTTTCTACAGTTTAGCTCAAAATCAGTTCTCCGTTTAATGATACTTAGTGAACTGTTAAAATTCCCTGAAGCAAAAGTTCTCTTTCTTGTTTTCCTTGTTCAAAGTTGTTCATTGATAAGCCCAATTTATTGTTTCGGTTGCTAACCGAAGAAAATAATGCAATCAATGTGCTCAAGTTCAAATAAAGCACAGATTGCATTAAATGTTTTGAAAACAAAAACGATAGTAGTAGAATATTAAATTCAGATAGCGGCTACAACTATGCTTGGTGTGATTTTCACGTTTCTCGTTCTGTAATGGTGTTTTTATAACAGGACAGCATTCTAAAACGATATGCCGTTTCGGTCCATTGCGAAAGCTAGTTTAGACTGGTTAAAAATGGCAGAAGTGAAGCCAACGTAGCTCTCCATGAGAATTGGCTCCTCTATAATTTGAGCTACTTGCTGTGCTGTGGAGCTAGAGTCAATATGGGGACTGTTAGAAGTAATCTTGTCAGTGTCTTGGGGATCAGCTGGCGCCCATTCGTGATCCGCGTCTTGGTTTTTGTTGTCAATCTGCTCGCTGTTATTATAAGAATTTTGTTGTCCTTGCGAGTTGTGACTGATAGTTTGAGAGGGGTCTAGCGTTGCGTTATTTGTGGTAGTTATATTAGCAACAGTTACAGTGGTTTCTGAAGTTGGTCGTTGTTGTGCTTGCAGGTCGGTGCAAATAAGACCGCAAAGAGTCTGGTGCAATTCTTCGATTTGGTACACACCTCTATTGCCGTTTACTTTACAAGCCAGAGGGTGACTTGTTAGTACAGTCCACGGTAGCTCCTTGTTAAAAGGTATCCACAGATCCCCCCATTTAGTTTTATTGCCAACACCGGCTGAAGTTATTAACTTCAAACAGGGGAACTTTTTCCAGTTCCCAGATAGCAAAGATTTAGCGGGATAAATCATGGGCCCGAAAATAACCCTGCTTAATTCAGAATATTGAATACGTTTTATGCTGTCCTGGAAACTCGTGCTTTCATTTGTGTGGACACTGGCAGAGTTTGAAATGAAGGTATTTGAGCCGGTTATTTTCTCGGTTATAAAGTTGTAGTTGATAACACAGATTGACCTTTGGTTTACCACTACCACTCGCTCCTGCTCGTGGTTCCAATTGTCAACAAGTGTGAGCACGAATAGTGAAATGATATTTCCATCTTTCTCCCGATCCAGTAGTTGATCTCTAATAATATCCCCAGCCCGATTTAGTCTGTCGAGCCTGTTGGCAAAGTATAAGTTCGCTTGAGAGTCTCCGAGTTCCTGTAAACAGCCTAAGTTATTCCCCTTGCTAAGCTCCAAACCCAAACTTTCCTTACCAAGTTTATTCAGCTTTTCAAGTGCACTGTTGGCAAGTTTCTTACTCTTGTCTTTAACTTGTTGTACATTGTAATCCGAGCTCTGCTTTTGCTCCGCGGTTATCTCGCTGGTTCCCGTCGAACTTCCTTCGGATACCGGGACTTGACTCGGATTTTCATCGACGACAACCTCGAATTTTAATTGGCCACCGCTTACAGGCATCGGCGACAGTTGAGTTTCGCTTCTTCGGCGGTCGGAATTGTTTACTCGGTGCGTGCTCTTCCCAGGATTGGAATCATTGGAGCCTCGAAAAGTAACTTCAGGTTCCTCAGTCGACATTTTAGGGTTACTTCTCTCTACCAAGGTACGTGACCTAAATTTGCTCTTCTTTAAACTAAACTGGCCTTTAAATTGGTAAGCTGGATTTGTATCTGCGAAAGTTTCAGATATCGATTTTGAGATCCGTTGACTAATGTCTTCAGAATCATTTACTTTTATTTCATTACTGGATGAATTGTACTGAGGATGAACTAAACTGGAGGTGGTCCTGGTAATCTTGTTCATATAATAGGGGATTTGAATAGAGAATAACTAAAGCTGTCTTTGTTAGCCTACTTTTCGCCAAATATTTTGTTAATGCATTAGTATTTATGTTGTTGTCAAGTTTTAAAGCGTCTGTTAGCTCAATGAATTTGATCGATCAATCATCAATTGATCATTTATAACTATAAGTTTGAAACTTGGCTCAGAAAGAATAAAATTGATCAATGAGACTCTAAAAGATTGAAATTTATTATTGAATGGAATAAGTACAATACTGAATATATCAGAAGCAATGGTAGTGTTTTTTTTATAACTTGAGTCCAAGTTTTATCGTTCTTTGTTAATATACCGATGTCGCACAAAATAGTACATCTATGACCGTAAAAGTGAAAAATTGTTGCTTACTTTGCACATTGCGTCAAACAACCGCTTTTTAAACGTTGGAACTGACAAGAAATTTGACATCAATTTTTATGTGTGGGTTTAAATATTCAACAGATGTTTGCGACGGCTTTTGTGTTCAAAATAAAAACTATTTTAATGACCTCTAAAAAATTCTTTTTTCCATGTTGAATTTCAGTTTGTCTGGAGTGAAATTTTTGCTTTTGATTAGAGTTGTTGAAACGCCTGGATTAATCGACGAAAGTTTTTGGATGCTTGTTTTCCGGCTTTCGAAGAAAGCGCGTAAAGATTCTGCCAGGAATGATTTTTGGCTAGTTTCAAGTTTTTTTTCGAAAATGGGATAGCTTTTTTGGAAAATTTGATTTTTGCAACTGCTTGTATAACGATTGAATTGTCTTCAATATGATATAAAGCTTGACCCTCTTCGGCGTTTCTTTGTGGTACCTAAATTTGAAAATAATAATTGTTCCGACCATTGAAAAATGGGGAGGAAGTTTCTATTCGGGTTTGTATTCAACATCAGTACCACAAATAATCATCGCAAAGGATCGAGTTATATATCATATTATAGACCCTTCAGTCGTGATTCGAACGACATTAAATAATTTGGAAAAAATTCAGTGTTTAGAAAAACTCGATTTTTAGTCCAATTTCGAGCAAATATGGTGAGCAAGCAGGCTTATTTTGTTTTTCAACCAAAACATTTACCACAAACAAATATTGTAATGGAGGGAATGATGTGTCCTATTAAAACTTTTTCAATACTGATTCGAACGACAGAAAAACTTTTCAAAAAGTTGTCCCAGTCTCGAGAAAAAACGGTTTGAAATTTTTGAGTTTTAGTATAATTTAGAGCAATTAAAGCAAGCGAGCAGGCTTATTATAGGAGGATCAGCCATGAAGTTTTAGTTACATTTTCTCAAGTTTATATTGCCAATGAATGATAAATTCAAAACAATATCTGCACGAAAAATTGAAGAAAAAAAAACTTGAAACCGAAATCTCAGAAAAGAAATTAATTTTTCAATTTTTTGTTTCTAGTCATTTTTTTTGAATAAAACCGTTGCCATTTTTGCCTATTTTACTCTACTGTTGAATATACCTAAATTTCAGGTTTTTTTTTAGTCCTTTCATCACACCTTGCTCAAATAAATAACACTAATTTGAAAAACAAATCTGCAGTTTTTTTAAAGTCCATGGTCGAACATTCTCTGTTACTTGCACAGTAAGCGGCTATCCTGTTTTTTTGATTTCCACGCGTAATTAGGTACCACAACTCTTCATCAGTATGGGATGAGTAACAATTAAGTGTCAGCTCTGTTTATGATTCTGGCAAGTGAAATTTTAGCTCTGATCAGAGATAAATCAGAGAAACAATGCAATGCAGTAACAGTACTGTTTCAGATCTGGCCGAGTGCTGATTTCGGACTTTTATTTACGCATGCGAGTTTTTGCTAGAGTAGTGTAAGAGTACGAGTATTTTTCTTCCAGTGTAAGCCGCAAATATTGGTGCCACTTTGGTGGCATTTCTAAGTCTTTTTGATATCATGTGTGTTGACTTTCGATTAGTAATAAGTTAACACCGCTGATGCAATTTTAATTCATCAAATGAACTGAAAAAAAAACTTTTTTATTTCAAACAACAGTACACAATAAAAATTGCATATCAGAAATTTTCCAGTTCAATGTGCCTGGCAGTTTTTTTTGAAATACATAATTTAAAAATAAATTTGATTGATGCTTTCCAAGTTATTACATGCAAAGTTGGTGTGGATGCCTTTAGTTGATTCCTGCTTGATAAAAACAAGTATTATGAAATTGTATTTTGTTTTTTTTTTGTGTTTTTATTCTACTTTTTCCAGAAGCTTCGAACATTTTTTTCTTTTTTCTCAAAAGTTAAGTTTTTCTCAATTTAAGTTATAGCCCTCAATTCAAATTATGGAAAAATCAATATTTTGAGTTTTTTGCCGTTCTTCAAACTTTTTAGAAGTTTCTCGAAAACTACCCTCCCAAATCTAAGTTTTTGGATTCAATGGAGTGAAGGGATTGTTTGAACCTCCCATGCATCAGCGGCTCAAATATTTTCTCAAAAAAAGTTCTCGTCCTCAGAAAAGTTTTTTTTTAGTTTTTAGATCCTTTTTTGAAACTTTTCGACTTTTTTCGAAAAGTGCCCGCCCAATTTGAGGTTTTGATTAATCAATTGAAAAGTTTGTGTGAATGTCTCCTGCGTAAACGGCCAATTGCAATTTTTTTTTTCACAAAAGTTTATGGCCCTCGTAAACGTCAAATAATATTATTTTCGACCGTGTTTTAAAGTGTTTTGACTTGTCTCGAAAATTATCATCTGAAGTCCGAGATTTCGGTTTTAATTGATTGAAGAGATTGTGTGATACTCCCATGAATAAGTGGCCTAAGTTACTGTCCTAATAGTCATATTTGTAATTTTTTGACTGTTTTAAAAAAACGTCTTAGGTTTCCTCGAAAACTACCCTTTAAAATCTGAGATTTTGGTTTCCATTGACTGAAGGTCATAAACAGTCATGCGCATAATTTTTTCCACAAAAAAGTTATGGCCCTGCGAAAAATCAAATATTTGATTTTTTGCCATTATTTTAAAATTGTTTTTTCGATAACTACCTTACCAAATCTAAATTTTTGATATAAGTCGAAAGTACGGGTTGTAAGAAGCGCCTCTGTATCGGCGGCTTCATCCGATTGTTTTTGCACGAAAACTTTCTACCCTCGGAAAAAGAAGTTTTTTGATTTTTTTAAAGTTTCCTCAAAAACTACCCTCTCAAATCTGAAGTTTTAGGTTCTCGATACCTGTCCTGTCAGATCTTTCAATTGAAACTGTCCTTCAATTGAAAGAACAGGTTGTGTAACGTGACTCTGCGAAAGCGGCAACGCGGAAAATTTTCAACGCAAAAAGTAACGGCATCGGAAATTGAAATTTCTGACTTTTTGGCTTTTCTCGAAAACTATCCTACCAAATCCGAGAATTTGTGTTCAATCTGTGTGAAGCTTCCATGCAAAAGCGACCAAAAACAAATTTTCTACACAAAAAATTTTGGCCCTTGGACAAGTCTAGTTTTTGATTTTTTGACCGTTTTTTTTTTTTGAAACTTTTTGACTTTTCTTGAGCACTAACCAGCCGAAGCTGATATCAAGGTTTAATCGAGGCAACAGGTTTCGGATTTATCAGTGCATGCGCGGATACGCCTTAAAAATACAACAAAATGTCTATGATAAAATTCCAAGTTCTTTATAAATTGCACTGTTTTTGTATTAGAGAACAACTTAGGTTTCGAGTGAAGCCTTTTTTAAATTTTTGAAATTACCTCATCCCGTATCATGTAATTTAGCTCATTTTAGTTACAGTGTTCATTTTTCCCAATGTGTTAGCGTTGAGTTAATTCGTATTGACAAAAGAAACCTTTGAAATTGAGCAAATATTTTTGATAGCATCCCTTTGGCGCAGCTGTTCGCCTTGTTGGCGCAGCTGGTGGCGCAGCTGTTCGCCCTTGTTGAAATTTAAAATGAGTCCGAATCTCGTATATGCAAAAGTTTTTTCCTTTGTTTTATTTGAGCAAGTCTAATATGATACTTCTTTGTACGATTTTAATTCAACCTCTCGTACCATATACCCAGTGCAGTTTCGCATCTGTGTAGCATTTCGTTTCTGGACTTGTTTGGTTGTTGTTGTTGTTTGCCTGTCAAATCGTTCATTGGTTGATGAGGAACTTGATATCATTTGCAGGACATCTCGTCTCGCAGTGCAGATATATAGTCTTGGACCATTCTTCTTCAATTGCAATTGCACTAATCGCTATCTACTACAACAAGCTTATAGTACTGCATTTGATGCCGATTTCCTTTCAAGCCAGACAGACATTATTGAGTCCTCGACCTCACCGAGCCGGACGTTAGAGTTGAGGATTTGAACAACAACTAGTCTTAAATTTGCCTCATTCCCTTTTTTCTTCTTGGCTTAATTTGTGTCCGAAAAACCGGAATGTAGATAGCTTTCTTTCGGGCTGCTTCTGACTTGAAGGTCAGGTTTGGCTTTAGATTAGGAATTGATTTTCCGTTCACAGCGGGGTTCCATGCGATGACGAGACCTTTACCGGCGTCTGAGGACTATTCAGATCTGGCCACAATCAGCGTGACATGGAACTCGAACGGAAATAGTCTTACAGATTCTCTGATTTTACCTTAAAAGGGGCTATTCTCGCATGCTGGTTACCTATTATCAATGTGGGAATACTGAAATAAATGGTTGGTGTTGGCTGGAAAAATCGGTGAATGTTAGGTTGCATCATCTTTGTGGTGTGCTTTATTTACTGACTATGATACATAAAAGTAGGATGACCGCTCTAACATTTCCTCGATGACCTTTTTGGTGAAAATGTTTCCGATCAAACAATTGCCTTCCTTCCCAGGCTTGACTTTCTAATTTTAACTCTTTTGTATTCTAATTGAGGGGTGCTATAGGTGCCATTAGTTTCTTCTTTCATGTACTTCCCCTGAACAATAAAAATGGAGCCTCGTAATCCCACGTGGTGGCTTTGCTCCAATTTTAGCCTGATTTGTTCGCATTTTAGGCGGAAATTAGGAGTGATCAAGTCAATTGCTATTATTTTTTCACTTCTCCCCCTACCCGCCTTCTTGCGCATGCACTTTTTTCACCTTCCTCTTCAAATATTCATCCCTCCCCTTTTTGCTCTTCTGCATCCAATTTCAACTCTCTTTGGAACAAATATTGACCCGATTTTATTTCATTCCCCAGCTGAAATGTTGTTACGTGTGTGCACAGTCTACGGTACAGCATAAAGGGCGATTATTATAGGTGATTAGTATATTTGAGTAGTGAAGAGCATTTAAAAACTGCCATTTAGAGTAATTTGATTTGGCACTTAACTCTAAGTTTCTATTTTGCTGATCATTTTAATTGTTGAAATTTTTAATGTTTCCGACAATATTGCTCTCAGTATCGTGATTGCACCCCAAGATTGCAATTGGGTGTTTTAATTTGACGCATTCTCTTTCTCGATTGTTAGGCCGTGTGTGTCTGCTATTTGACTCGAATACTAATGATGTGGCGATTCGGGTTGGTGAGATTGGATTACGCGTAGATGATGAAAGTAGATAAGGGTGATTTTGGCCGTTTTCGGTAGTCTTTTCTTCCTGTTTTTCAATTGAGTCTTCAATTGCTTCATTGGTTGGTAACTTGACTTGCTGCTATTTTTCTCTCTCCTGCTAGTGCTAGCCTGGTGGTAGGTATGGTCATCCAATAGTAATTCCTACCCGACGGTGCGATTTTCTGCAGAGCGCTGTGGCATTTTACTTTGTTCCTTTCAAATCCACCTCGGCCACTCGACTCTCCAAATGTATTCTGTCTGCTGCCTAATTTAATAACATTTCAGGCTTCTTCCCGTCCCAAATTAGTCGCCAAAATGTCACGCAATTTTTAATTCATCTTCTCATCCCTATACTAGCCCAGTCTGAAATGAAATGAAATTAAATCAATTCAAGTGCGGCGTCTAATCCAAATGAGTATTACAACCTCTGTTGAATGTTTTATTTCAATTTCAAACGAATTTATTCACTTTGCCCGCTTTTTGAACAACTTCAATGCAGGTGAGTTTAAGTTCCTCTTTTGGGACCACTTTTTCGCCCATTTCACCAGTTGCAACTAGACAAGCGAGGTATCCATCGAGTAAAAGCGGATGTAATTTGCATAATAATTGCCATAATCATCAGGCCATAGAAACTAAAATAACGCCATCTAGACCGCCGCCGTCACACTACCTGTAAATCAAACTAATACGCTTGTGCATTCAGAGCTATCAATGAGCATAATATTTTTGCTATTTTATCCGGTCAATTGACAATTTTATAAATGGTAGTTTTAATACAAAAATCATTCAGTTCACGCAATCGCAACTCCCAAAATAGCTATCAGGTATGAAATTTTTTCTTTTGTATATTTTCTCTCTCCGCTTGATTCTAATATTCTGAAACAAAACTTTTCTAATGCTCTAACTTCGAACACATTTATTGAATTGAGCGCGCGTATTATTCAGTAGTGAACTGAACGGAAAGAGGCAAATGGTAAATTAGACGCCAAACAAATTAGTCGCTACCTATTGCATAGAACTGAATCCCCTTTTAAATTTTGACTGAAATGGTTTATTGGTCAATTACATAGTAATGACAAGAATCGATGGCAAAAATTCTAAGATTCGAATATTCATAGAGGAATTTAGCAATCAATCTATAAATAATGTATTAGCGCGTTATGAATACCTTTGATTTTTGATAAAATCATAAAAACTGAGTTTAAAGTCAACGTATTTTTTTTTTTCAGTTCTGGTTAGTTAATTACACAAGCAACGCTAGTGTTTTCATTCGAGTCTACTTTTATTTACATTCAAGCTACGGATAGTTGAAAGTGATAGATTTTGTGTCTGGTAACGAATTAACAAGACTGCCCGCATCTGACTGTTCCAACTGCCCTGTAAAGTCTAAGAAATTGAAGAAATATTTCATTTCAAATAAAAATTTGGATTATGATTTGTCTGCTCATGATTTGTCGGCTTAGTTGCCACATCTTAATTAGAATTATTTTGCTGTATGCAGTTTTGTTTTAATTGCTTTGTATCTGTCGTTTACTCCTGCAATTTGTAATTCTACTAATTTTGCGTAGTATTTTTTCTTTGTTCAGAGTAATGAACGTAGTGAAGACTCTTATATATGTCTGCCTGATTCTTTTTTTATTTTTTTTTCCTGGAAAAAGTCTTAAAATGCTCTCATAGCTACAGATGTACTTTCATACATATTGATGCATTTAGGAATGCACTTAGGTATATATGCTTTTTTTGAGTTCAATTGAAATTCATCTGCTAAAAGTTTCGTAAACAGCACTCTCCAAAAACGAACGTGGAAATGGCGCAAAAAATTGTGAATGATTTCTAGTTTCGAAAGTGGAATTTATTTTTTCTCAAGTTAGGTTAATTTTTATCAAAAAAGCGCCAATCATAAATTGTTTTAGCAATTCAAACAGCTTAAAGGGCATCTATTTTGCATTTTAAATTTTCTTTAAACGCTGTCGAAAGTTTTTTTGGACGTATTTTCCGCAATTAGAACATCATTCGAGACAACATATTGATGTTTTTTAGTTTTGGTTTCTTCTAAAGGTTTTTTCGTTTTTGGATTTAGTTGCTCTCTTTTCCTTTCCTGTCTGCCAGCTTGAAATGTTATTTAAACGTTCAAAATCATTTTGCTAAAGTAGGTTTCTGAATACTAGATGGTAGTATGTCCGATAATAAAGGTAGTCAACGATGGTGACAAATTATATATTTTCATCATTCCTTTCATATTTGCTAGTCGAAACAGTTATCATGTTCCTTGCACCTTGTTCTTCTTGCACTTTTCAGATTATTTGAGCTGTAATCAAGTTCTTATTTGATTTCTTTAAGTTTTATACGAATTTTCGTAGAACTTTTTTATACGCTTCCTTTCTAATGCGAAATGAAATTTTAAAAAACTTATAAGACCTATACAATTCTTCTAATAGTAGCAAGCGTTATCAAATGGGAATTTACACTTTGTATCGGGTGAACTCGGTTTTAAAAAAATCATCTTAATCATTGAACAGGATGTGTTCTCTTTTTAAGTATTGAAATGGTCAAATTCTTCAAAATTCGAATTAAGCTACTGTACTATTACTACTACTATTACACTACACTATAGAAGTTATATCAGTACTCTGGAAATTGATTTTTTTTTGGATCGGTTGTATCGGGTTTGTTTTCACTGATTGAGTTTTATATTTATCGGATCACTAAGCAAATTTTTGGTTGATTCGAGGGAAGCAGAATTTTTGTGCTTTCCTCCGGATAGCACGAAACGTTAAAAATCTCAAGAATAGAATTAAAAGTTCAAAATTTTTCCTGGCAACAATTTTTTTTATTTTCGCTCCAATTTTTTTTTGAATTTTCTTTAAACGCTGTCGAACGCTTTTTGAACGTATTTTCGGCAATTAGAACATCATTCGAGACATTGATGTTTTTTAGTTTTGGTTTCTTCGAAAAGTTTTTTCCCTTTTTGGATTTAGTGGCTCTCGTTTCCTTTCCTGTCTGTCATCTTGAAATGTTATTTTAACGTTAAAAATCTTTTTGCTAAATTAGGTTTCTGTATACTAGAAGCTAGTATGTCCGATAATAAGGGAGTCAACATTGGTGACAAGTTATCTATTTTCATCGTTCCTTTCATATTTGCTAGTCGAAACAGTTATCATGTTCCTTGCACCTTCCTCTTCTTGCACTTTTTAGATTATTTGAGTTGTAATCAAGTTCTTATTTGATTTCTTTAAGTTTTATACGAATTTTCGTAAATTTTTTTTATACGCTTCCTTTCTAATGCGAGATGAATTTTTAAAAATTTTATAAGACCTATACAATTCTTCTAATACTAGCAAGCGTTATGAAATGGGAACGTAAACTTTTTTCTCGGGTTAACTCGGTTTAAAAAGATCATCTGAATCATTGAACAGGATGTGTTCTCTTTTTAAGTGTTGACATGGTCAAATTCTTCAAAATTCGAATTAAGCTACTGCACTACTACTACTACTATTACACTACACTATAGAAGTTATATCAGTACTCTTGAAATTGATTTGTTTTGGATAATTTCATTAGTCAGAGTATTACCTATTTAGCTAGGTTTTATCGGATTTGTTTTCACTGATTGAGTTTTATCTTTATAGGGTCGCTAAGCAATTTTTAGGTTGATTCGAGGGAACCATAATTTAAATGCTTTCCTCCAGATAGCACGAAACGTTAAAAATCTCAAGAATAGAATTAAAAGTTCAAAGTTTTTCATGGCAACAGTTTTCTTTTCGCTCAAAAATTTTTAGTTTTCTTTAAACGCTGTCGAACGTTTTTTTGGACGTATTTTCCGCAATTAGAACATCATTCGAGACAACATATTGATGTTTCTTAGATTTGGTATCTTCGAAAAGTTTTTTTTGTTTTTGGATTTAGTGTCTCTCGTTTCCTTTCCTGTCTGCCAGCTTGAAAAGTTATTTTAACGTTAAAAATCTTTTTGCTAAGTTAGGTTTCTGTATACTAGAAGGTAGTATGTCCGATAATAAAATTAGTCAACGTTGGTGACAAATTTTATATTTTCATCAATCCTTTCATATTTGGTAGTCGAAACATTCATCATGCTCCACGCACCTTCCTCTTCTTGCAATTTTCAGTTTATTTGAGTTGTATCAAGTTCTTATTTGATTTCTTCAAGTTTTATACGAATTTTTGTAGAACTTTTTTATACGCTTCTTTTCTAATGCGAAATCAAATGTTAAAAAGCTTGTAAGAACTATACAATTATTCTAATAGTAGCAAGCGTTATCAATTGGGAATGTACACTTTTTATCTTAAAAAAATCATTCGAATCATTGAACAGGATGTGTTCTCTATTTAAGTGTTGAGATGGTCAAATTCTTCAAAATTCGAATTAAGCTACTGCACTACTACTACTACTACTACTGTTACACTACACTATAGAACTTATATCAGTACTCTTGAAAATGATTTTTTTTTGGAAAATTTCAATAGTCAGAGTATTATCTATTTAGCTAGGTTTTATCGTGTTTGTTTTCACTGAATGAGTTTTATCTTTATCGGATCACTAAGCAAATTTTTGGTTGATTCGAGGGAACCAGAATTTGTATGCTTTCCTCCGGATAGCACGAAATGTTAAAAATGTCAAGAATAGAATTAACAGTTCAAAGTTTTTCATGGCAACAGTTTTCTTTTCGCTCAAAAATTTTTAGTTTTCTTTAAACGCTGTCGAACGTTTTTTTGGACGTATTTTCCGCAATTAGAACATCATTCGAGACAACATATTGATGTTTCTTAGATTTGGTATCTTCGAAAAGTTTTTTTCGTTTTTTGATTTAGTTGCTCTCGTTTCCTTTCCTGTCCCCCAGCTTGAATTTTTATTAAAATTTCAAAATCATTTTGCTAAAATAGGTTTCTGTATACTAGATGGTAGCATATCCGATAATAAAATTAGTCAACGCTGGTGACAAATTTTATATTTTCATCATTCCTTTCATATTTGGTAGTCGAAACATTTATCATGCTCCACGCACTTTCCTCTTCTTGCACTTTTCAGATTATTTGAGTTGTAATCAAGTTCTTATTTGATTTCTTCAAGTTTTATACGATTTTTCGTAGAGCTTTTTTATACGCTTCCTTTGTAATGCGAAATAAAATTTAAAAATTTTTATAAGACCTATACAATTCTTCTAATAGTAGCAAGCGTTATCAAATGGGAACGTACACTTTTTCTCGGGTTAACTCGGTTTAAAAAAATCATCTGAATCATTGAACAGGATATGTTCTCTAACTAAGTGTTGACATGGTCAAATTCTTCAAAATTCGAGTTAAGCTACTGCACTACTACTACTACTACTACTACTACTAATATTACACTACACTATAGAAGTTATATCAATACTCTTGAAATTGGTTTTTTTGGATAATTTCATTAGTCAGAGTATTACCTATTTAGCTAGGTTTTATCGGATTTGTTTTCACTGAATGAGTTTTATCTTTATCGGGTCACTA